AAGCTTATTAACAGTCTATTCAGTCTATTCATGGTACTTTTCATCATCATGTATTCGCTTAAACATATCCGTAGTGAGACGCCCCTTTATGGCACAAGCTGCTGTCGCCTTTAAGGACCAATGACAGCCTGTTTACATCCAGATCTCTTTAAAAGGAATTCCTTCCACTCCAAATGTGGTCAAATGCTTCGGCTTTAAGCAATCTACCAGCGCACTCATGGAATCCGGTCGGCAAAACATGGCAAAACTAACTTTTCAATAATTTTACCTGTTACATGCTCCACAAAATATTGCTTCACTGATCCATACAGAATTCAAGTTCATGAATGAAATGCTGACAAAATTCACTGTACAAATAATCGTTCCCTCCCATCGGGAAATATACCCATTTATTATTATATGCATATGACTGCAACAGCGCACGTGGCTGTTCATTTATGGTGGGCGTCGGAGTTTTTACGTGATGTACTGGCTAGCTCTATTCCGTGGACAGCATACGGAAAGAGTGGCTGATGCTTGAACGATCAGCAGTTTCGGTTTTGATTCCTTCATCAATTTACTGACTTGTCATTCCATCCCCTAGGGGCTTGCATTAACCAACGCATAAATCGCACTGATGATGTCGTATAGCCTGACGATGAAACGTCTACAAACAAATCAACCAGCTCGGAGAACACCCGCATACCTTCAAAGAGACGCTTTGTTATGCGACCGAGTAGGATAGTAAGCAAATGATCATAGTGCAAATGACCATTCATGCGTTGCACGACGTAAGACACCCACTGACATTAGCCCAGTTAGCAAACAAAAATGAACAACGTAATTTCCCAATGGAGGGGAATTAACGACGACCTATGGATGAACACAATTAACCAGTGTGCTCGGTGGACAATGGTCATGTATTCATCTGCGCACCACGCATGGTAACTCTTCTAGGTGCTCATAAATTCATGGATAGTTAAAACTTTGAAAATACAAGAGCCTGTCGGAGTCGCAAAGTAACCACGTCAGTGACTGAATCGCCCCGTTACGAGCACTTTTCTGTCTTTTGGAATTGTTCCTCCTAATCATACAGGCCGAGGTAAACAGCTAAAGCCGACCACACAATCTAGCTAGTTGGAATGTAGCCATAATTTCTTTTCATCTAGTGCGTGCCAATGTTGAAACGCCCACCACCACACTGACGGTAGTACAAAAACGTTTCGACGATACAGTCGTGCAGTTACAGTACGCCTTAAAACCCTCCACGTTCGGATATCAATCTAACACTACCAGTAAAGTGCACATTTTCACTTCTTACGCTCCAACTGTTAATAAATGCTACTATGGAAACTGGATTTACTTACACATTGGTCCAAGGATGTGTCCCACAAGTGAGTGTTGTTAATGTATATTTTTGTACTATATAATGAGAAGACAGGCGTTGCAAGATTGGGATCATAACGTTTTGCGCATACTCCCATTTTCAATGAGCATTCTAATTATTGATTCTTTCCCTCAGTGATTGTTTAGTATGTGGTTCGTTTGCATGTGCGCAGAGAGCACTAAATGATATCATCTTGGAACCCCATCTTCTCATCGTATTGTTTAGAAAGAGAGGGAACGCAATGCAGCAAATTTTCTTTTTTCTTACGGATTACTTGCACTATAACCGCTCTCCATATAACTTAGCGTGCGCACATTCAATTCGCATTTCAAACGAATGTTATGCATCAGCGCACTTAAAACAGTAGAACTTTAAAATAACGATTCACTCATACTTTCAGTTTTTACTCAAACCATCCTATCTGTGATAAATCATCGTTCATTGTTCAAATCGACAAGACCAAAAGAGAAACTTGGTGTACAGCGTTTAGCAAAGTGACTAGTGTTCCATTTTTGACTGTGCAACGGCAATTTTTAAACAGCCAGGCTCGAGAAAATTCAGCGAAAAAACAGTCAGCCAATTTGTCGCATAATTTGTAACGGTATGCTCTACGGCATCCATGGTCAGGATGCAGCTTATTTGATTCGATCGATGATTGTGCAGTCGTTTGAACTAACTTCTGTTGTACGCAACAGAATCAACGCAAACGCTTATCACCTCAGCATAACATTTCGGGAGTCAGTAGGTATATGTGTGAAGACATTTACATAAGTGAACTGATTCTACTGAAGGGTTCAGTAAACGCAGGTGCTTCAGCTTTGGCACGGAATCCCAGAGGCGAAATAGGGGTTCAACATTAGGATAATCACTAAGCCGACCACAAAACTTCAGCAAAATTTGGCTTTGTAATAAAATTTCACGCGCTATGGCCAACAAAACCGGGGCGAAAGTACCTTCATATGCGTTTATGAGAAAATCGCTTGCTGTTTGCTAAGCCCAATGAAAGGACAATGTAAGATACTAGCGAGAGGTGAAGGGACTACTAATTGAGAATTGTCGCTGGTCTATTTGGTTTCTAATGGCCAACTGCTAATTTCTCAAGCAAATGTGGAAGAGGAAAATATCTGAAAAAACTGAAAGGATGCTGATGCCTGGACAAACTGAGAGTAGCCTCTAAGGACCGGGAAGTCACCTCAGTACACTTAGTCCAGGCGCGACTGCTTGTGGTTCGGCGGCAACAAAGTGTCGGTACTGCGCGCCGGCAGATGCATACACACTTGTAGCGACATTGTTCGTGGAGTAAAACTGGTGTAGCTCTCCCATCGCTATCACTAGCTCACAGTCTCACGAATTCAATAGTTCGCTCCGTTAACTTGCCATTAAATATGAACACTTTTAATTTAGAACGTCAGTTGAGCGGGATAGAAGATGATGAAAGATAGGAATTGATTTTTAACAAAGGAACAGTTTAGCGGATCTTTGGCAAATTATTAGCTATGGTATATGTTTTTAATCATTACCATAAAAATTGTCAATCACAAGATGTTGCTACATGCACGTTATGGTAAGCCAACATTTTAGGTTGCTTTCGGGACTATCAAGCTAAGAGTACTTTTGACGATAGGTACCACTTGGGTAGAAATGGGTATGTGCACACGGAACGAATACTTGTGAACATATCAACAATCTGGTATGCAGCTTCCAGGCTGAATTTGTCTGGTACAACCTCAGTGTTCAGCCGTTTAGAACTAGGATGGAATAGTTTGAATATCGTCCATCAGATACCGTCAGTAAAAGGCAGTGGACGGCAAGTTACGGCTCTCGGAATCCTGCAGTAGTGCGTTTCGCATCAGTCTGATGACGTGTTGATACTATAGTCCATTTCATTGAATCAGAAATCTATGCTTAGGGGCCTCAGAAGAAGTCAGTAGTCTGCATGGATGAGTAAATTCCCGTCAGTCAGCGTGGAATGAGACAGGGCAATGAACGATGATGTATGCCGGGTAAACGATCAGTTGCTTGACAAGTCCCGCAGGATGGTGAGAGTAAACTACAATTATCAAAAATAAGTGACTTGTCCGTTTGAACATTTATCCGGCAGAGGTAATAGTAGTAATAGTAATAGTAATAATAATAATAGTTATAGTAATAGTAAAGTAATAGTAGTGTAACTGGGAATTGAATGTAAACGACGAGGCAACAAGGGGCAGTCATAGTTGATGTACTCCGTGGTGAAAGTAAAAACAAGAATACTCACTTCTGTATCGTCTACTCAGATTTAGGTGACATGTTAATCCGGCTTGAAATTGCGTGAGATTCGCTGTATCACAACTAGCAGATTGGTCGGGTAGCCTCTAAGGCATAGGGATCTAACTTGTAGGCTTTGGGTCAGGATTCTTCGACCTACATCTGGCTGTGGGAAACGTATTGTTGACGAGTTCCGAAAGAATAAAACAACTGTGGGTGACTCATTGAGTCCTACCTATAAATGTTTGTCTCCCGGTACTCGCTTTTTTTAACAATGAATTGACCAACATTTCAAGCCACAAATTAAACTTATTGTAGTCAAACGATAACCAGGCAGCAGAAAGTCTTCTTGTCCGCTGCCTAACCGATGTGTTTTCGAGCCGTGTGCTACTTACGGGTGTCATTTTACGGAATGCTGCAGTTGTGCTACTTGCCCTCGTACGATAAGGCGCATTACTTACTATCTTAGGCTAGGTGGCCTTCCCACACAAACATCCATAGATATTGGCCAGAATATGATCAATTCGATTACGTGTTAACAATATTCTCGGTCCCAATTAACTTTCTGCATATAATGTAGGGCCAAGTTGGCAGAATAGACAATAGAAATCTACTGTATTTCCTGTTCATACAACGGCTAATTTTCACAATTTTTAACTCAGTAGACCAGTCAAATAGTTGACTCAACAGTGTGGAAATTCGTAACATTTAATGATTCATTATTTCACTACTTGTCAACTCACCTGTCCATTCTCAAGGAGCCAAATTCCAAGTTCGCTTGGATCCACTGAGAGAGGGCGACCGCCAGACGGAAGTCTGTACATTTGACTATCTTCCACCGGTCGCTGCTCGTTCATAAACTGCTCCAGTTCGACTACAGATGAAGGGAGTTCATTATCGTAGGATTGGTGTAATCTGTTATCAACAATAGCAGAAGCAGGAGCGATTAATTGACGTCCTTGAAAGTACCACGTCAGATGAACATTGTCTACTGTCAGATTTGGATTGATGCGACACTCGAGTTCTCCCTCGCGACCTTCTTCGAGGGCAACAAACACCGGACGACCAGCCACAACAGCCGTCTCTGACTCTTTGACGCTTGTCGGCGCCAGTGGCATGTAATCCGCCAAAAGTCGAGGCCGCAAATCCAAAGTTACAACTGCAGCCTCGAGCGTTGAATTCTCGTTGGCTTTACGGCAAGTATACTCACCGGCTTCATCTGCTCGAATTTTTGGGATCACCAGTGTTGACACCTGAACAAGCAGATATAACAGCATTGTTAAACGGAACCAACTGACTCCTTTCTGTATAGGTAGTGCAACACTGTACCATTTGCAACTGATTGTTACTGGTTGTGACCACATCTTTTCGCAGATCCACATACATTGCCAGCAAGACAGTGAAATGATACCAAGATATCTCCAATTAACTCTTAAGTTGTCAACGGAATTTTATGTAAGTTTCCATCCATAGCACGACAAGTTGCGTGTGACTATCAGCCACTGACAGACAGTTTGGATAATTTCCATTACAAAATCTTGTCCGCTAAGTATAATTAAATTGGCGCAAACTAGTAAGCCTTAATTTGCGCCCATTTATCGACTACATACAAGCAGCGCTGGATCGAACCACGTAAATCTGAGAGCGGTGTACCGGGAACTGAGAATCAGGCCCTGAAGAGTGCACTGATGATGCTACCGAGCGTAGTAAGGAGACTTCAGTGATCTAATCGCCCAGCTCGGAGAACAGTCTATAATCCTCATCTACATCACGGGATACGGATATTCCCAATGATGTCAGATGAAAAACGCATAATTCATATTGTTGATTGGAGCAAGCCCAAAGGTTTTGTTGTCTACATCAGCCATTCTCAACGGGAGCCATAGAAAATCCGCGGGGGGCCCTAGGCGAGAAAACATTTTAGGACGGCCGCGTGGGGGCCACAGAAGACCATCCTGTGAAAAGTGGGTAGTACTAAAACAAAAAATAAAACGCATTTTAAAAACTTTTCTGATAGTTTCTGTTTGTGCGCCAATCTCCTCTGGCCACTACCGTTACCCGCACGCAAGTGGCTGTTCATGAAGGTGTGAAAGTCAGCTCCGTCAAACTTGTGCAGGTTTCGCCGAGCTCACCTAGAACACATAATCACCATACGGCGACTTTAATTGCGCAACTGATAGCCGATGTGTATCAACAGTGAACCAGCTGAGCTCTACTCATGACACTGATACATATACTGTGCAAGCTGCAGTGAACCCAATAAACTCTCCTCGACACATTGCGGTAGTGACCGCACAAATCACACTGATACTGAGATTTCCTCAGTACACTAGCACTGTTTTGACAAATGTGCCGGTCACTTTCTCGTTCTGGTCTACATGCGGCAGCGCTGGGTTACGCGTTTTACGTCTCAAGTCTCAGTTCGCGTGTAAGTCTGGCGGTTAGGTCACGTTAGTCAGCAAGGTTCCAAATTCGATTGGCTATTTTGTACGCGTGGGGTACTAGCACTAAAGAACGTCCGTTCGTTCCGACTAAGAGTCGAAACAGCTAGGACACGTATAATGCTTCCTTAACACTCTGTTCAGTTGAACTTTCCAAATTGGTTGGCTTTCTGAACAACCTCCTCGTGGTGCCAGCTGGTTGGTTCAGGATTATCCCGTTCCAGCAAATCGTTCGGCGGCAGTGTTCCAGGACATGGTGTTTTTTCGCCTGGCAAGTGATCTCCCTATAAAAAGCCACAGATATCCGTTTAACAACATTGTGACTTGGCGGATGTGAGTGGCTACTAAATAAAGTCACTGTCCCTTGCTTCATACTGGCGAGGCATCGTATTCCAGCAACTTAATGCTGAAATTGTGGAGAGCATTGGGCCCATGTTTGGAAAAGGAACAAATGAAAGGCGTAGGAACTGGACAATCAGTCACCGGCTCCCAGCTGGCGCAATCCCCTGAATTCGCTCCGCCATTTCGAAGAGTGAAAAAGCCGGAACAACAAGTAAGACTACTTTATCGGTTTGGCCGCATTCGCAAAACAGTCGAACGTTTCCAACTCGGACCTTGAGTTCAGTCACAATGATGAGGGATGTTATGTGTTGATTAAAGATCAATGCTTTACGATAGTTGCAAACGAATTAATTTTGCATGCGGGTGTATGCATGCCGATCTGCGCTTCTTACGCTGTTAACCTCTCCCCGTCAGTGTATGCTTCACTTCTTACAGGCTTTTTTCCTGCTATCTTACTACGCGCCAAGTTAGTATTTTTAACATGTAATCGTGATTGTTTGTGCCCAGTATTTTACGGATATCAACGGCATTGGGATGTGGGTGGACTACTGTTGAGATACATTAGGCTTGTCTCCTGCTGCGTTTGATCCCATGTGTATTGGTGTGTTCCCATTTAGGCGCAACGTTGTAGAAATATGCTCGAAGCCATCTGTTCAGTATTTAGGCCACATGGGAAAACGTTGCTAATTAGAGCGTGTTTCCGTAAACAAAAATTGCTTGTCAATAATCGTAGTCTGTTTCGGTTGCTTTCACTTGTTTCTTCAAGAATGTCCACAGCAATTTCCAGACTATCCGAATTTAGACAAGACAGTAGGTATTAACCAAGGTGTTTGTTATAGCCACTACTTAACGTTTGGCAGTATTCTATCTGTGTAACCGACGTGAGCCTCGATGTAAGCTGCAAACAAGGGTGAGCATTCCAGTCTAGCTAGGCAGCAAAAAGCTCGAGATGCTTGAATTAATCTGTAAACACTTGAGCATCGAGCACTTATCCCTTCATAGTATCCTCTATGCAACTTTGGATTCACTATGCAAAATCGTCGTCTGTAATTGTTAATTTACTAAGCTTGTGTCGTTGTGAGGTGCAAGGGGATTTAGCTCATCGGAATGACCGAGGCAATAGGAAGAACTTACACGAAAGCTGCTATCAGCCAGTTGCTTCTGTGTTGTCTTGTTTGCTTAATCTTCATGTTATTCGCTGTGCTATTTTGCTACTTGTGCTCTCCCTCCTAATCCTGATGAGAGAGGTTAAGATATCCATCCATCTTTTTCACCTGCTGATTGCAAATGTTTAGGCATTTTAACCGACAGCTGTTCTTCGATTAACTACAATTTCTGTCCACCGGTGTGCTTTGCGCTGTCTGTGCAAAAGATTATGATGACCAATGCTACGATGAATTTAGCTTGTAGGTGTTAAAATATCTGTTTATGTCTGGAAATTCATTTTATCGAATTTTTCTGCGAAATTATGCAGGAGCTCTATGTGTGTTTCAGTTCACTGCTATCAGATAGATTAGCAACTTCCAAATTCTCATAAGTATTGTGGTGACTGTTAAACAAAACTGGTAGTTGATGGAGGGTTGAGTCAACTTACTACCAAAAACCAGTAACGCATTGGGTGAACAGTTGCAAACTTCAGTAAAGAAAAGCAGATCGAGGTTACTTTCCTGTATGCACCGATTACGAGGTACCTGCATATATTAGGTATTTATAAAAAGCGGAAAGCCGTATGCACTGCCAGTAAATGATCGGTTAACGAACTTCTGATAATCGTTCAACACGGTTATCGCCTTTCTGATTTGAAATCCGAACGTATTTCCAGTGCCATCTATTGCAGGAAATGAATTGGCCAGACCGATTGTGTAAGTTACTGGACCAAAGAAACCCCCTGTCTTAGCCGCTCTACGGCAAGTGATCACTGAAAACGATGAACAGCTATATGAGAACTACTGACGAACCATGTTGACACTTTTAGGGTCTCTACAGCGTACACTATCCCGATGTTAAATGAATGTATGTACAGCGATTTGATCCTCTAAATACACGTTTATTTCTCCCTGAAAATCTTAAGATCCATTTCTTTCAACATGATATATTTTATGCTAAATTACCCTGGTGAGTTACCCGGAATTGCGCTGTTGCGCAACTTCAGCAATTCTGATGTCATTTGAAGCTTCACAACCGACCACACAAGCCACTTTGAGGCGGTTGACATGCTGGTGTAAGTGGAATATCTTTTATCGTAAGACGAGTGTTCGCAGGTTGATTTCTTTGCAACAAACTCAAGAAACGGCGTCGAAACTTCCGTGGCCGCTCCGTAAGCACCCTATAGGACGTGTAAAAGTGGTGTTTCCCAGCCGGACTATCTACTAAACCGTACAGGATGAGCGGTGAACGACATTTGCAACACATTCCCGAGTCTCACATCCTATTCGAAGATCCTACAATGGAGGTTGTATCACAAACTGAAAAATGTCGGCGAAACCTAACGCTTTCGTCCGATCCCAGGAATTTCTTCTTAAGAACTCTCAAGCTACACATTTTCGGTCCACTTCAGTGAAGGTTTGCTTACCTCGCATGACGACACTCTTGACGCAAAATTAAGAGGCAACACAGTTAAATCAGTCAAACGAGAAATGTTCCTGATTTGGTTTGTGCTCTTGCTGACTTAAAATGCTTGGAGGGAAAACCACTGGGTTGCGTGCTTGTTCCTCTTCATCTTCTCTATCTGCAGCATTTCTTACCCCGGCTGTGGACCTAATTCCTCGGATGATCATCACTTACTGAATGAATTTCATTGTTCGTTGCCCGTATTTGATTTTATCCTGTACGGTCGTGACGCTCGTGACTCACAGTGCTTGTTGTCGAAGGGTCGGGCTGCAGCGCCTGTTATCTACCTGAATTGTACATATCCCACATGAGTAGAGGTACTGTTCAGAAGTCGTGTGCACCCAGTGAAACAGTTTACGAGATGGATACTTCCGAACCCAGCGGAGACAATTTGCATTAAGGGACCTCTAGTATCATAATGCTTGGATGTTAACTAGCAAGTGACCTGTTCAAAAGCATGTTGATACACCTCAATCATCAGTATCATGATTCCAAGCTCCAAACATCTTACATCCTGACATACAAGCAACGTGAGGCACTGAGAAATCTGATGTCAAACCCAATACTGACCTATTCTCGACCAGCTAAAGGGTCAGGTTGGGTATTGGTGAACAAATTCGGTTGCGTTGCAAAATTGAGGAAAACTCTTAGCGACGGCAGTAAGGTGCGATATGACAGAATCCAGAAAAAGTACGCTTTTAAAAGGGATGCAAAGTATAATCAATATTTTGAAAGAATTGTAAGAGTCAAAATCTTTACTCAATGCAGTTATCACAAAAGTTACCCCGTAAAGTCTCACATATTCCTCGACTCTATGGATTGCCCAAAGTGCATAAAACCAACATTCCCGTGCGACCAATATTTCATAGGTCATCCACCGCTTA